ACCACATGCGCATGTGCTGTGGCCTGCATATATGGCCTTGTGTGTCTTGCGTGCCCCTTCCTGCCTCAGGTCGATAGCAGCGATGGTCAGCTTCTGCTCAGAAATGCCTTCTACGGCAGAGGCTGGGGGCATGTGTTCTTACAAGCAAGACTTGACGAAGCAATGTTTCATTTTGGTTGTCTTGTTGGCCTGTTAGCACCATTGTCTTGCTTGGCAACTGCCTTTTCACAGGACGGCCAAGAATTCTATAGTCATGTTGCTGCTCTGCCTTAGCCATTTTGATAGACCCGTGCCGAGACAGCCAAACAAGATGAACCAGGCAATGGCACCTTTAGTTCAAGTACTTGCACACAGACATGCACGCACACACACACACGCACAAACGCATCGTCATGGCATTCGACAATTGACACCCATCTTTGCTACCCACCGTTGCCGCCATGGCGCCCTGCGAGCGGTGCGGCGTCGGCAAAAGAAGCGGCAGAGGCAGAGGCTGGTGCAACAACGAGGAATGCCGGAAAGAAGAACAAGCAGAGAAGCTGGCTCAAAAGCAAGCTGCACAGCGCGCCCGCGCCGAAAAGGGAGCTGGCGAGCGAGGACCTTGCCCAGGAGAAGGAGCTGGAGGCCGACCAGCAGACGCCGCAGCGCAAGCTAGCAGACAAGCGCGCAAAGAAGAGCGCCAGGCGAAGGGAGCTGGCGAGCGCGGACCTTGCCCAGGGGAAGGGGCCGGCGGCCGGCCAATAGATACGGAGGAGGTGAAACGCGGCCCGCCCTTCGCCAACGACGACAACTTCGAGCAGGTGAAAGGCAAGTACCAGAAATTCCTTCGCAAGTGGGGCCACTTTGGCTTGTCCAAGGCTTGCGATGAGTGCGGCACCTTGACCCCGGGCAGGTATTGCTTACTTACAGTCGAGGAGGATGGAGAAGATGGCTTGCAAGAACTGTCGGGAGAAGAGGACCAGGTACGTTTTGCCGACTTTGCCGCCAACCCCGCCGACCTTAGCCGCCCTCAATGCCTTGGAGCGGCGGCTGCTGGCCATGGCGAAGGTGAACCAGGTCCTGATTGACAAGCTACCGGCGGGCGGCCCAAGCGCGCAATGGGGAAGAATGTACATGTCGCCGCTGGACGAGCCCCGCCTATGCAACCTGCTGGAGGGCGCCGAGTTGGGCCAAGACGGCGAGGTCTATGTGGAAGGGGTGCAAGGCATGCTGGCATCAACCGCCCGGCTGCAGCATCTCTTTGCCGCCTTGCAGACCTTGCGATGCAGCACGCCGCCTACAAGAACAGCCCGGTTGTGGACAAGGCCCTGGCCGACATTGCCCGCATCCTGGAACAAGCGTCTGCAGCACAGCGGCATGAACCTCAGGAAGAAGCTCCAGGAGAAGACGCCGAAGAGGAGGAGCTGGAGGTGACTTATCTGCTGCCTCGAGACCCCGCAATTCCCAAGGCCGACCGCGGTGAGCTGCAGGACCTGCGCGCCAAAGCCAGGCGCGACATCGACAACATCGACGCCGTGCTCTTTCCGCACCTCTTTCCTGATGGTCAAGGCGGCTACCGGCCACATGTTTACCATAAGTTTTCCGAGTATGCCCGGAAGCGGCTGCTCGGCAAAGATGGCCGCTTTGAGGCAGACCCCGCCTATGTCATGTGGTTGCTGGAGGAACAGATGAGGAAGCGCTTGTCAGGCAACGTCACCGTCCGCTTGAAGGGCCAGCTTCATCCGGAGCTCGCCAGCCGGCACGAGGAATACACGCGCAGGGTGTTCACTGCTCTGCGGGATTTGCCGGGCACCCAGCCGTACCTCTTTGCGAAGCGGGGCGTGGCCATGGGCATGTATGAGCAGCTCGGCAAACCCCAATTCTTCTTGACCCTGACCTGCCACGCCAAGCAGCCCAGCATCCTGGCAGCGGTGATCACCGCCAAGCTCATCCGCTTGCACGGCCGCGCTGCCGAAGAGGAGGTCGCCGGCATCCTCTACGACTATCAGCGGGATGACAACCACAAGTGGGAAGGCATGACCGCGACCCAGCTTTGCAATTCCATGCCGGCGGTTGTGGCCAGGCAATTCATGCATGGCCTGCGGCAGCTTCTTCACTGGTTGGGCGCCGAAGACTTCACAGCTGAGGGTGCCGATGAGCAGGACCGTCCGGATGGAGGCGGCGGCGACAGAGGTGACGAACAGGAAGAGGACGAGTGGGCGGCTGCCCCAGCACTGGGCCAGGACGGGCAGTTTCACCGCGTGAAGGAGGACAAGCCGCCCTTCAAGGTCTTCGACTACATCGTCCGCATTGAATGGCAGAAGCGCGGGTGCCCCCATGCCCACATCCTCCTATGGACCGACGTCCCAGACGTCACCGGCAAGAAGCGGCCCGAACATGCAGCAGCAGAAGGGGAAGAGGAGAAGCGCCAGGAGGAGGTCGACTGGTCCGACGAGGAAATATCTGCACACGTGGTGCCGGCCTGCGCAGAGGACCTCAGCGACAAGTACATCAGCACCAAATCGGCCCACCGCTGGATGCAGGACGGCCGCAGCACACCTAGAACCCGCAAGGTCATGGCGAAGCTGGCGACCTTTGTGGAGCACACCTGTGGCCCCTACTGCGGGAAGTACACCATTGGCGCCTGCCGCTTCGGCTTTCCGAGGGCCTCCGAGAAGCACACCCGGTGGCGGACGGCGCAGGAGCAGTTTGCCAGCCGCTGGAAGTCAAGCTTGGCGGCACGGCGGCACGAAGACGACGGCTTCGTCGGCCAGTACAACAAGGCCATCCTTCGCTTTTGGCGGGCCAGCATGGACCTGCAAGTCGTCTGCAAGCTCAACTGCGCGAGCAAGTACATCTTGGGCTACTGCTTCAAGTCTGAGGAGGACCTGGCGGCCAAGAAGCGCGTGGACAACATAGTGCAGGCTACCTCCAAGACCCGGGGCGGCAGGACCCGACCACCAACGAAGTATACAAGGCCGCGCACGCCGCGACGCAGGGCCGCACCACCTCCACCTTTGAAGCCGTGCACTACATCCTGGGCTATTCGCCGGTGTTCTTCTCCCGAGATAACATTTGGCTTCAAGTGGGGCCGCCCGGCACGTGGACGCTGTCTGTGCCGCAGGCTGAAGAACAAGAAGCGCTGCAAGACCCGGCAGCCTACAAGGAGAGACAGCAAGAAGCAGGACGCGGTGCGCCAGCGGCGCAGCGTTGGTACCAGCAGCTGCAGCAGCACTTCCCGGATGCTGAGACTTTGGTGCCTTCAGAAGGCGGGCGGCCCGTCGTAAAGCCCTGGCGCGAGATCAGCTTCTTCGACTTCGCCGCCGGCTTTCGCTTTGGAGGAGCGGTCTTCAACCCGGAGAAGGTGGTGCCCAGGCGCTTGCCCGCCATCGTCGGCCATCGGAACTACAGCCCCGACCTACAGCCGGAGGTGTTCTACTATTCCAAGCTGCTCCTCTACTTGCGCTGGGTTGAACCCGGGAATTGGCTGGCCGACGCAGATTGCGGGAGCCACGCCGCAGCCTTCCACCGCATCGCCATGGACCGCGACCGCAACCCAACCTTCTTGCAGTCTCTGTGCTTTCCGAAGCTGGATGGAACCGTGCAAGCGGCAAGGGAGCTGCAGGCCGTGCAAGCGGTTATGTTCTTGAAGGCAAAATTGGACAGCGCCACATGGACGCACACCCGGGCCGAGGAGGAGAACTACCAGGACTCCATGCGCATCATGCAGGCCCTGAAGGAGCGGCACGGGGACGACATCGACTTCATGGCCCCGTGCAACGTGCCAACTGGACCTGCCACTGACATCTTTGCAGCGGTGGAAGGGGGTGAGGCGCGGAGGGGAAGACAACGCAAGCGATCCCATGAGCTGCGCAAATATTTTCGGGTCATTCTTTTTCGGCTTTTCTTCCAAGGTCAAAGATGCGGATTTCCTTGTAGGCAGGAAACCTTTTCCTCACAGCGTGCCAGGAAGCCTTCAACATGCTGACCGTCGAGGACCCTAGCCCCGAAGTCTTGAAGCAGAGGCGCTGCATGGAGTACATTTTGCGCTCGGTGCTGGACGGGCCCAATTCCAAGGACAAGAACAACTTGGAGCGGCTCAACCTCTTGGTGCACGGGCCCGGGGGCTGCGGAAAGTCAGTGGTGACGAGGGCAGCGGCGCACATGCTGCGACAAAGTGAACGCGGTGTGGTGCTGGCGGCGCCGACAGGGGTGGCCGCTTTCAACATCAACGGCACCACCTTGCACTTCAGCCTCCTGCTGCCGGTCCAGAACCAGAGCTACGGCAAGGTATGCGACCTGCCCTTGCCCAGGGGTGAGCAGCTGGCTACATTGCAAAGCTTCTGGAAGCACGTCGACGTCCTCATGGTGGATGAAATGAGCTTCGTGTCCTCCGACCTACTAGATCGCATGGATCAGCATTTGCGTTTGGCCAGGGACATGCCGCACCACCCCTTCGGCGGCCTGCACGTCATCTTCATCGGGGACCTCTACCAGCTACCGCCGCCTGGAGGCCGGTTAATTGGTGTGTTGAATATCGGGGGGCAAGTATATAGCAGCTAGTTCAGAAGCCTTTCCACGTAGCTTTCGCCTTTGTGTCACATTGTACATATGCAATATACATACCTGCCCCTGTCGCTGACGCGCAGGCCGACCGATCTTTGCCAGTAAGCTTTGGGAGCTTTTCGAGCTGTGCGAGCTGGAAGGCAACCAGAGGGCGGGAAAGGACCCTGCGTGGGCAGCGTTGCTGGCGCGGGTGAGGATCGGCAGATGGACCGAGGAGGACATTCAGGTCTTAGAAAGCCTGGTCATCCCCAAGTACAGCGGCCGTTCGCCGGCCCCCGGTGCGGTCTGCCTCTATGCAACCCGCGCAGCGGTGGCAACCCGCAACAGGCGCTATATCCAGGGCCACGTCGAGTACACCAACGGCGACCTCTACGAGTGCCCTGCGGTGGACATCTCCGTCGGCTCCGGCGCTCCGTTGCCGCCAGAGAAGGCGTGGCCGCTCCCTGAAGACACCGGAGGCATGGAAACCTTGCTGCAGCTGGCAGTAGGCGCGAAGGTCATGTTGCGCAAGAACCTCGACGTCCAGGACGGCTTGGTCAACGGCGCCTGTGGAATTGTGGAGCACGTTGACACACGCAGCAACAGGGAGGTCGAGAAGGTGTGGGTCAAGTTCGACAAGGACGCAGGGAGCAAGTGGCAAGCCGCGAATGAAACCACCAGCGTGGCCATCAACCGCTGCAGCGCCTCGTTTGACGACAAGGACGGCAGCAAGGCAGAGCGGCGCCAATTCCCGTTGGTCTTGGCAAAAGCCACCACCATCCACAAGAGCCAGGCGGCCACATACTATGCAGGCGTGCATGCCCGCCTGGACAAACACGTCAAACAAGAAGGGCAGGCGTACGTTGCGTTGAGCTGGTCTCCGACCGAGAAGCTTTGCAGCCTTGAATGCTTCGACAGGAGCAGCCTGCACTTCAACGCCAACGCGCAGTGGGCTCTGGTGACGCTCAAGGAGAAGCAGTCCAGGAGCAGCGGGCCAAGGAAGGCCGCTTTGCGACAATTGTGGGAAGAGGTCGTTCTACCACCAGAAGGACATAAGCACTACAAGACCCTGCTGCATCACTTGCCGCCGCCCGATTGGAAAGCCTATGACGAGGAGCAGCGGGCCAAAAGCGCACCTGATAGCAAGGACGACAGCAAGGCAGGTGGCAAGCTGACGTGCCCACAATGCGGGTGGACGGCCGACGATGCAGCCCAATACAAGAAGCACAACCGCGCTTGCCCGGCCAAAGCGGCAGCCAAAGCTAAAACTAAAGCCGCGGCCAAAGCACAGCAAGCCGCAAAGGCCAAAGCCAAACCCAAAGCCAAGAGCAAGAGCACTGAGCGCGCGGCTTCGCCGACGACGCCGCCCGCCAAGGCAAACAGAAGAGGCTATGACCCCCCAGCACCTGACAGCCCGCCGCCCCTGCCACCGCCTGCAGATCCACCGCCCCCAGATCTGGAGCCGCCAGCGCCTTGCTTTTATTTCGAGAAGCAGCAAGCAGGCCGGTGCGGAATGCACGCGCTCAACCACGCTTTGGGCCGTGCAGCCTTCACCCCGCAGGACATGAGGACAGCTGCTGCAAGCTACTTGCAAGAGTTGCAGGGCATCGACGACGCTGCACATGAGCACATCCGGCCAGGGGGCTGGTATTCCGTGCAAATCCTCTACACGGCCTTATTCAACCGCGGCTACACGCTGAATTTCCACCAGCCCATCCAATCGCTGCAAGAAGCGCACTTGGCCCCTGCCCTGGTGCAGAATTGGAACAGCCAGCACTGGGTCGCGTACCGCTGGGGGCACGATGGCGCCATCTACCTGCTGGACTCCATGCGCGACGGGCCTCACAGAATGCTCGAAGAGGAGTTCACTGCAACCTTGGCGATGCATTGGACCTATGTCGTCGAGCCTATACCGCCAACCCATGACATGTAGAAGTAGAAGCAATTTTCCTCGTTTCACTTGTACAGACGCGCCCCAACAGTGGTACAGAAGCGGCGCTGCGGCAGAGACCAGAACCACTTGCACAGCCTGGCCGAGCCATCGGAAAAAGGGAAAATGTTGCTGCGTGCCAGATTGCATGAATGCCTGTGCTTGTGACCGTTGCCGGCCTAAATTTCATAATGCTGGAGACAAGCCGTTTTGCTCGTCCTCGCAGGTGTTGTTGGGCCCGCTGCAAGTGATGAGGCGCGGACAGGGTTCGGAAGGGCTTGCGCAGGCACAAAGTAGGAACACGGGTTTGGCTTCAGTGGGCAGGCTTGTGCTGTAGTTTGGCTTAAGTTGGCTCGATTGTGCTTAAGTTTTGGGCCTGGGTTTGGCTTAAGTCGGCTAGTTTGTGCTTAAGTTTGGGCCTGGGTTTGGCTTGGGTGGGCTGGTTGGTGCTTAAGTTTGGGCCTGGGTTTTGGTTAAGTGGGCTGGTTTGTGCTTAAGTTTGGGACTGGGTCTGGCTCAAGTGGGCTGGTTTGTGCTTAAGTTTGGGCTTGGGTTTGGCTTAAATGGGCTGGTTTGTCCTTAAGTTTGGGTCGGTTTGTGCTCAAGTTTGGGCCTGGGTTTGGCGTAAGTAGGCTGGTTTGTGCTTAAGTTCGGGCCTCGGTCTGGCTTAAATGGGCTGGTTTGTGCTTAAGTTTGGGCCTGTGTGGTGCAAAAGGCGCCTGGTGAGTCTTTTGGTGTTTTTGGGTTTTGCGTTTCGAGGGTTTTGGGTTTTAGGGTTTGGGTTTTGGGGTTTTGCGTTTCGAGGGTTTTGGGTTTCAGGTTTTGGGGTTTTGGGTTTTAGGGTTTTGGGTTTTAGGGTTTTGGGTTTTAGAGTTTTTGGTTTTAGGGTTTTGGGTTTTAGAGTTTTTGGTTTTAGGGTTTTGGGTTTTAGGGTTTTGGGTTTTAAGGTTTGTGCTTAAGTTTGGGCCTGGGTCTGGCTTGAGGGGGCCCCCTGTGTACTTAAGAGCAAACAAAACGTTTTCCGGAAATGTTTTTCGGACCTGAACCCTATATAATTTCTATAAACCCTAAACCGACAGCAGCCAACAAAAGATGGTTGCCCAGTGGCCCTGCCACACCGCCTCTGGATGTTTTTAAAGCTGTGGTGAACTGGTGCACTCCACCTGTATTTTTGCCCATCTGTCTCCTCCATTTGGTTTTGGTGCAAGCAGATTGCAGCTTTGCAGCTGCTTCAGGGAACCCCAAGAAGGCAGCAATTTCATGCCAGTTGAAGTGACTGTCAAACTGCCTGCCCATAGCAGCCACCTCCTTTGCACTGGCAGCCTTTGGAATTTCAATGTGAGCAACCCCTGGTGGCAAGGTGGGGTTGACAGGCCAGCACTCATGTGGCCCCTGTCCCTGCCTTGTTGCATCTGGCTCAGGGCCCCAAGGGCTGTCCTCCAGGGCTTGCTTGAGGGCAAACCTATTGGTAAACTTGTCACTCAAGCCAATGTGGAACAGAAGCCTGCCATAGTTCTGGTGCCTCCAGCCAGCAGCCTTCTCAGCAGAGCCACCTGGGCATTGAAAGAGGCAAGCCCCCTCTGCTTTGCCAAGTGCTTCCACACTGTCTTGGTGGATGGCTTCCAATTCCAACTCCTTGACATCCAAGTGCTTGCAGATCTCTTGGAACATGGAAGCCAAAACTCTTTCTTGTTCACTCCATGAAGCTTCCAACTGGTTCACCCTCATCTCCACCCTCAAACCTGCAACATCCATGTCAGCCAACTGGCCAATTTGGGCCACCAAAGTCTGAAGTTTGGACCATTGCATACCAAACCATTTAGACTCACACTGCTTTGGGGCAGCTTTGTTTGGCAGGCCCAAAGCTTTCATGTGATGCACATACCTGCCTGGGTATGCTGTGGCCTTGATCACATTGACCCCTTGGGCCCCTTTGATTTCCATGTCACCAAAGCCATTGCCCACCTTACCAAACAGAGGGTAGGTCGACCTTGACTGCCAATCGAAATACTTGCAGAACCTCAAAGATGGGTTTGGGCACACCACTGCCACCTTACCATCCATGGTGGCTTGGGTCCCAAAGTCAACTGCAGCTTTCTCCCAAGCAGTCCTGCCCCTGAGAGGGCCCAGCTGCTCTTCTGTGCAAGATTTGGCTTGCAAAAGAATGGAAAAAAATCTTGACCCTCTGCCTTCATTCCATACCTGCAAATGAAAAGCTGCCATTCTTCCCAGTTCAAAGCTTGGTTCAGAGCCTCAGTGAGCTGGCTTGCACTGCACCACCTCTCCTGCATGGCCAATGCAAGTGCTTGCTGGTTTTTGTCAGGATGTGGGGCCAGAAGAGGGTGGCCTGTTTTGCCTGTGGAAGTCAAGGCCTTCCTGAGTTTTTGCCCTGTTTCAATGAGGAGCTCTTCATGGGCAGCATTCATTTCATCATGCAGAATGCTTCTCAGCCTCAATGTGTAAGGCTTGGATGAAATCTCCAACCCACCAGGAAATTGTGACTTAGGGCCTCTCTGCAAAGAGCCCCCAACTTCCCAGGATAGGGCAAAGCATTCCAAGGCAGAAGGGGCAACCTCCATGGAAATGAAATCGCAGTCCCAGGAGACACCCAAAGGTGCCATGCAATTTTGATTCACTTCCAGCAAATGGGAGCTATCAGGCTGGGTTCCTGCCCTGGGGTCAATCCACCCACCACCAAAAAGGCACATTTCCACCTCTTCACCTGCTGTCCTCCCCTGCTGCCCTCTACTGCTTCTTGACCTCCCTCTGTCAACCTTTGGGGCCATGCAGAACAAGGCGGCCAAAGCAAGCCCCACCAAAGAAGGTGGTGGCACACAAGGCCCTGCTGCAACAGGCTGCAGATTGCCCAAGAACAGCACCCCAAAGAGAAGCAGGCACTTCATCTGCTTCTTCATGGCTACCCAGTGAGTGAAGCCCTTACCAACTTACAGTACACACTTGAGCAAAAGAAGCTCAAGCAAGGCCAAAAAGTTTCCCAAAGGAGACCATCCACTGTCATGCAATGAAGCTTAGTGCCCAGGCAATTACCAAGACATCCTCTTACTTGAGTTGCTAGTTCCACTACTAGCTGCACCCTGGCCTTGATGTCCACTTTCACCTCCTTGTGAATGGGCAAGTTAAAGGCCAAGTCCTGCCCAGACAAGAAGAAGTAAACAAAACAAGGGAAGAGAAAGGAAACAAAGAGAAGGGAAGAGAAGAGAAATCATGGGAAACATCCTCATCATTATCATCATCATCATCATCATCATCATTCATCATCACTCATCATCATCCTCATGATCCTTATCCCCCTCTTTATGACCATCATCATTCACCATCAACATCATCACCATCATCATTATCATTATTGACCATTGCTCATTGATCATTGATCATTGATCATTCTTTATTCATTATTCATCATTCATCATCTATACATACATGTAAATATATATATCTATTCATGTAAATTTAGATAGATACATTCACATTTGTATATATTTACATATATATATATGTATATACATGGGTTTCCTTTTCCTTTTCCTTTTCCTTTCCCTTTTCCTTTTCCTTTTTCCTTTTCCTACACCTACAGTCTAAATCCTAGTGAGTCAAAATTTGAGGGAAATTCTCCCCAACCTAAGTCCTATAAATTAAAATTTGAGGAAAATTCCCCACAACCTAAATCCAAGCTTCCATTTTCAAAAAATGCTTAAAACCTGTGTTTTTATTTGTTTTTTCCACAAAAACCAATAAAAACACAGGTTTTTGACTACTTTTTTGTTAAAAATGATGAGCAATGCTGTGTTTTTATTGGTTTTTTCCAAAAAACCAATAAAAACACAGGTTTTTGACTACTTTTTTGTTAAAAATGATGAAAAATGCTGTGTTTTATAGGTTCTGACCTATACTATAAACCCTAAACCCTAAACCCTAAAACCCCTTAACCCTAAAACCCTTTATTTAACCCTAGAACCCTTTAACCCTAAAATCATTTGAGGCTTCTGGAGAAGGTTTGGAAGGTCTGGACAGGGTTGTGAAAGTTAGGGTAGAAGGCTTCCCCCCTTGCCAGGGACGATTTAGGGTTAAAGTTTGAAGCCTCTGGGTAGGGTTTGGGACATTAGTTAGGGCTAAAGGCTAACCAGCTTGCCAGGGAGGTTTTAGGGTTAAAGTTTGAAGCTTCTTGATAGGGTTTGGAAGGTTAGGGTTAAAAGGCTTCCCCCCTTGCCAGGGTGGTTTTAGGGTTAAAGTTTCGTGCTTCTTCACAGGGTATGGAAAGTTAGGGTTAAAGGCTTCTTCCCCCTTGCCAGGGAAATTTTAGGGTTAAAGTTTGAAGCTTCTGGCCAAAAAAACGCAATTGGAAACTAAAACGAGGGTTTCGATGAGGGCGTTGCAAAACAAGCCAATATCGACCAAAAACAGACCGTAGACTAAACTTGACTAAACAAGGGGCCCGATGAAGCAAAAATATGGCCAAGTATGTACTAAAAAACGGGGGCCCGATGGGAGCTTGGCAAAAAACAACGCCAATGTAGACTAAAAAAGGGGGGCCCGGTGGTGAGCCGGGGTAAAAAATGGCAACCTAGGCTAAAAAAGGGGGCTCGGTGAGATTGGGGCTTAGGTCGCGGTCGACAGAGAAAAATGCATCTGCTTAAGAATTTGCTGATCTGCTCAAGAAGCTGCCTATCTGCTTATCTGCTTATCTGCTTTAGAACCTGCTTAAGAAGTTATCTAACCTGCTTAAGAAGTTATCTAACGTGGCTCCATAGGGCACAAAGCCAGAAAAAAAGGCGCAGACTAGAGAAAAGGATGCCCGTGGTGGGTTGGCGAGAAAAGGGAACGTAGACTAAAAAAGGGGGCCCGGTGAATAAGAACAAAAAAACGAATTATGTAAGGGGACCCGGTGGTGGGTTGGCGTCAAAAAAACGGCAACGTAGACTAAAAAAAGGGGGCCCGGTGGTAAGTTGGCGAAAAAAGCAGCGTAGACTAAAAAAGGGGGCCCG